TCCATCCATCCATCCATCCATCCATCCATCCATCCATCCATTATCTTCTTGTTTTGGAGTCAGGTCTCAGGGGCAGCAGCTTGAGCAGCGAGGCCCAGACATCTCCTTCCACAGCCATCTCGTCCAGTTCTTCTAAGAGGAACCCAAGGCGTTCCCAGGCCTGGGTCTTCCCAGGGGTCTCCTCCCAGTTGGACATACCCAGAAAATGAGGTGTCCATGGGACATCATTACCAGATGCCTGAACCACCTTAGCTGGCTCCTCTTGATGTGGAGGAGCAGCCGCTCTACTCCAATTATTCCAATACTCTCTCATGGATAACTGAACATGTCACCTTATCTAAGGAAGAGTCCTGCAGAGAAAAACAACAACATTTAAACCACTTGTATCCTCACTCTTGCTCTTTGTGATCCGGTGAGTGTTGGAACATGCAGAAACTTGAGAGTTTCGTCTTTGCAGCTCATCTCCCTCTTCACCACAATGGACCGGCACAGAATCTCCAACACTGTAGTGCAAAAGCACTTCAGTCCCTTTAAAATAACATTTACAAAAGAAATACTGAGATCTTTAAAATGTCCACAAAAACAGTGTTCTCTTTGAAACTACTTCATCATAAATACTCTAATTTTATTTCATTTTAGCTTTTAGCTATTCTTACTTTTATCTACAGTTTAGCTAATTTTAGTTACAGATGAACTTTAGCTTCTGTTCTGCTTCTTTAAGATCATTTCTGTCTTATCTTATCTTATCTTATCTTAAGTCATTTTCAGCTTCTTCAACATCAGAGTGATTCATCCCTCTGCTTTCACTCTGATTCAGCAGAAAACACATTAATCTCCAACTGCTTTCAAAACGTGTATTGATATCTGTTGTCGCTGGCAAACAAACTATTTTCTACATGATATAGACACAAAAATTGTTGTAAATAGTTCCTCAAAACATGATTTGAAATAGGTTAGAGTGTCTAAAAATAAATCTTATTCTTCTTGGTTCAGTATAAATGAGCATTTGTAGCATCTAAGAGCTTCATAAAAGTTTATAAAGCAGATTTGATAATGACTTGATTTGTTTTCTGTTAGTCACTTCAACAAGTTGAGGAGATTTTTATAACCAGTTTCTTGTTCCATTTCCAAAAAAATAAACGGTGTGGCTTGAAATGAGGCCACAAGCTGTTTGTTTTCTGAGTCGTCCTGGTGGAGCTTCTCAGCTGACTGAACTCAGAGACACAAAGAGAGAGAGAGAGAGAGAGAGAGAGAGAGAGGTGGTGGGGGGGTGCAGATGTGCAGCAGCAGCAGCAGCACCCATCCTCTCCTCTCAACTTTGAAGCTCGCATGAAAGACACTACGTCTATTTTAGGATGAGAGACAGGATTTTCATGTAAAGCAGAAGCGAGTCTCTCAGAGGCGCAGAGGAAGGCGCGCCTGCGTTTTTGCGCTCGCATCATGGATCTAATGAGGGATTTAAAGCAAAGCGTGGGGGTGTGCTGTCCTGGTCTGAGGGGACGCCGTGAGAAAGTCCTCCTCTTCATCGTTTACCTCCAGCTGTGGTCACAGCCGATGGTGAGTGGCATCATTCTTATTCATTCACAGGGAACAACTGAACCAAAGCGCATCAAAAGTTGTCCCAAAACGGTTTCCACATCAGAGACGCTTGGTCATCTCTGATGACACCCCGGCTGTAATGTTGTTAACCTTTCCTGTCCGGAGTCCCTCTGAATCCCCCCCGGGGCCACTTGGACAGCTGGTGTTGTCAATAACGCTGCAGGCTCCGGTAATTAACGGCTTCCTGTCCACCTGCATCCATCAATCAAACGGCAGCATCATCTGGATAAACACGGAGGAGAAATCCCAACAAGACGTCTCAGATGCTCTGTCTTCAAGGTTTGCGCACGACTTGGAGCAGACAAGTTGACAAAAACACAAATTCCTCTTCTTTTATTTTAGTCAAAAGAACTTTAGTCATTTGAAATGATCACGAAAGTATCATGAAAGCGCCTCTATTGATCATTATCTATTGATTTTTGTTTAAATTAACTCTGCGTGTTGCCGCTCCCCTTTGCGCGTCATGGCTCCTTCAATGACATAAAGAAACGATTGTGATTCGTTCCTTGGCGTCTGCGCCACTGTAGATAAGTGAGTTGTGTCTTATCTTCAGGGGGAAGCAATTCACCCGGACTGCGCCATCATCTCTCAGCACCTGAGAGCGCGAGAGGTTTGCAGCCAGACGAGGAGGAGCGAGGCGCAGAACCAGAACCGGAGCCATCACACAGGTGCGTGCGTGTGTTTCCTCACAGAGACAAGTGAGGAAGCCACTCAGGATTTTCATCTGTGGTTGTGCGCCAGAGGAGGTCGAACATGCACGCACCAAACTGTAGCACATTCATAACTCACCTGAAGTTGAGTCACAAAGACCTGCTGAGTTTTTGTGGTCAGAACTTCAAACTCAACAAAAGTCCAGTTTTTACTTCATCACAGCAACAACTCCAAAAATCAGTCAAGAAAAACGTCTTCAAATCATCCCTTTAAACAGTCATTTAATAAAAACCTCACATGTTTCTGCCCAAACAGTGATTGTAGAAAAGATCCTGTTTTCCAAAAATATTTAATCTGTAGGAGACATAAAATCACTGCTTTCACAAAGTTTTCACTGAGGTAATTGATCTGATTCATATTATGTGTAAGAAATGTTCCACAACAATAAGAAAATACATATTTTGAAATGATTTGTTAAAAGAAAATTTTAACTTTTAT